CACGCACACACACACACACGTGCATGCACGTCGCTATAAAAATGCAGTAATCTTGGACGCGACGTTGAACCCCATCTCACCTCCTCGCCTCATTGATATACCCGAAGCTAAAATTAGACTTCTAAGACAAATTCCCATATTTTCATTTTGACAATCCGAACAGAAATACCAACATGTATTCATCAATAGACAAGGAGGCAAATACAATTGGTGCCCATGCGGATGCCTAGAAATCCTTTCCACCAAATTTCATATAAGTGTTATCTAAGAGGAAGTCCAGCATCTTGCATATTGTTTTTCAGTAAAAAGCAGTTGACATCTGGTTTTATTTTGGACAAATTGTCCTGAACCTTTGACGATAGAAATGAAGTTTTTTCCGTAAGTTTGTCGTGTTTTGACTGAATTAAACTTGAATCTTATACAAAGGAGCAATGGACATGTCTTCAGATTTTAAAGTCAAACCAAGGGTTGAAAGTACTGATGCGTGGTTTTGGTAGATTTCTTCCTCAGTTCACATACTGGCCTTAAATATGGTGCATTATTTGACATGTCACTCATGTCAATGTCTTTGAACCAACAATAAGTGATGCTTACATATAATGGTTATGTTATTTGATGCCTTGTCAGTGGCATACTTTGGATAGGTTTATTATACCCCCGACATAAAAGGGCGGGGGTATATAGTTATACCAAGGGCTTCCGTCCGTCCTCAGTGGACATTTCTGTGTGTGACCTAAAACTTAAAAACAACTACATAGATACTTTTCAAACTTCGCGAACACTTTAAACACCTATAGACTTGCAGTGTGAAGATTGTATAATTCAGACTATATCATGAGCATGTGTTTATGAATCACTATACTAATCTATATAATTACTATCAAATAGTAATGATACCAGGTGTTCGCGAAAAGGGGAGTGTATCCTGCCCCTCTGGTTGCACCCGTCACATGCAAAGGCACGTCAATTGTTCTCCGGAGAAAACATGGGAACATATGGTACAAGTCAAAATAGGGAATTGCATTGGACATAATTTTTGTCACTGAAGCGTCAAATTTGGAAATGACCTCCACATGTCAACCTTAAAACTTTTTGAAAGCTTTACTGAGGCCTAGAATGTGTAAGCTTGATCAAACAACTTCTGAGCAAGAGTCGTATGACACTCTTTGAAATCTTGGTAGAAAGAGAATGCTCGGTTGTATCTCAAAAGTTGCGAAATGTAAACACCAAAGGCTGGAGCTGCTGGAATATTGCCTGACGTGAAGGGAAAGTTTAAGTAATCCCACGTGTCACACAGTCTTGTGGAGAGTGTTTTGTCACTCTGAATCTTTATGCACAGATCTTAATATAAAACAGATGAAGCGGTCTCACTGGTCACCTTTATTTCTAGTTCAGTTGGGTAAATCGGTGGAAGGGAATAGACTATTTGTTAAAATAATAAACTAAGCGGCAAAAGAAAGAATAGGTTGGCAATTTGAAATTTTCCTTAAAACAATTGTTGAATTTGTTGAAAGTTGGTATAGGAAATATGACTGCCCAGGAACAGGTACAAAAAAACCACCTCATCCGAACGCGCCACCTTTGACGGCGCTCGTGCGGTTTCCCGCCTATGGAATAAACTGCACGTGCATGTTAGCTGTATAAATGCGTTCGGCTGCAGGGTATAACCACACGTGATGAAAGCACACAAAAGAAATGCCACGAGTGTCACAGGCGATGAGAGAGAGAGCAATCGGTATGGCCGAAATGGGGGCATCACAGGTCCAAATTGCCAGAAGAGTAGATGATATTGTGGAAGTATCCAGCCATTGAGCCATCCATGACGTCACAATGACGTCACAAAGGAACCTCCCACCCTCCCGTCTTTGATCTCAATTCTTTGATGTCTTTGATCAACTTGCTTTGATCATGTGGATCTTTAATGTCTTTGATCAGCCGTCTTTTTGTTTGATCATATTAATCTTTGATAAGAACAATGAACGAATCTTCACCCACAATTGCAAATTGTCATAAGTCACGTATTTAGAGACAATAGCACTGCATATTTTTATGCATATTAAATCATTTAATCATGCATATAATACACATCAACCATTTAATCATGCATATCAATCATCCAATCATTTAAATAAATATTAAATAGAATCAAATAAACTATTACTAACGTACAATTGGAGATATGTGGTGTTATAGATCGGAAAGGGTAAGCATAGTAATGTCTTTCCGTATAAGGACGAGGCATCGAGTGCTGTTTACTGAAGTCGGTTTAACTTGTTTCGAAATGATGGCAGAGAACGAGTTTATCGACGCAAGGGGAACGTTTGGCTCCGGTGTGTGTTCGAGAGGTCCATCCATTCGGCGGGGGAGGTGTCATGGTGTGGGGCGGTATTTGTGGAGATCAGTAGACTGATTTGGTGATTATACAGGGAAACCTGAACGCTGTGCAGTACAGAGACCAAGTGTTGCAGCCAGTTGTGCTTCCGTTCTTACAAAACCTCCAGCAGGGGACATTGTTTTAACACGACAATGCCAGGCCCCATACTGCAAGACTGACTCGGAACTTTCTAAACCCGCAGAACGTTGACGTTTTGCCCTGGCCTGCCCACTCACCCGATATGAATCCTATTGAACATCTGTGGGACCATCTTGACAGACAGATTAGAGCACGCCATCAGCCTCCCGTCAACAGACAAGAATTGCAACAGGCCCTGAGAGACGAGTGGCAACGGATTCCAGTCCTCGTCATCAGAAGACTGACGTCATCGATGAGGCGGCGTATCACAGCATGCATTGAGGCAGCTGGAGGTCATACACGCTATTGAAGGCAGCTGTGTCGACAGTGAACTTGTAGTGTGTCTGACAACTTTTTGGTGACATTTCAGACAACTTTTGAAAATTAAATTTCTTACCCCTCCATTGTTTACCTTGAGCTTACATTACCTGTGATTGCACAATTTCATTCAAACTGTGGATGATCAATCATTTGTTACCTCCCTAGATTATATTATAATATACAAAACCTCTTCTTGTTATTTTTTATCAATCATGGAACTCGACCTATACTTTCTTTTGCCGCCCAGTTTAATATAAAGAAAGCCCTTCCCTGGTTGTATGAAGGATTATGGTCAGTCTTTAAGACAGGGATTTGGTGGTACTTTTGCTTGACCCAGCAATATAGCTCTCTTTGTACGGATATTTATGGAGCTTTGGAATCCAGGACAAAAGAGGAATGGACATGTCTTCAATTTTTAGAGTCAAGTCAAAAGTTGACAGTACTGATTTCTGGTTTTTGCCATATATGTGGCATTATTGAATATATCATTTATACCAAGTTCTTTGATCAAACAATTAGTGATGCTTACATATAATAGTTATGATATTTGAGGCCTTGTCAGTGGGAACAACTACAAACTTTTCATGTAGGGCAGTCATACTTTGGATAACGGCTGGCTGGGACAGAATGGGTTTATTCCAATTCCGTTTCCTCTTTTTAAGTTTGTTCCTTCTATCAATGACAACATCACGCACTGTTGTTTAACGCCGCACTCAGCAATATTACAGCTATATGACGGCGGTCTGTAAAATAATCGAGTCTGAACCAGACAATCCAGTGATTGACATCATGAGCATCGATCCACGCAATTGGGATCGATGACATGTATCAATCAAGTCATCGAGCTTGACCACCCGATCCTGTTAGTCGCCATTTACGACAAGCATAGTCGCCTTTTACGGCAAGTATGGGTTTCAGAGACTTATTCTAACCCGGAATCTTCACGGGTCACATCACACACTGACTTAACCTTAACTTTGAATATTTTTTTACTTTAACTTCTACTTGTGCGACCTATAACTTAAAAACTACTCAATGGGTTCTTTTCCAATTGGGGGTACAGTTTCTATACCAATAAGAGAGGTGCAGTGCAAAGTTTGATTTCAATAAGTGGATAGTCTGAGAAATGTTGCCCTTTTCGTGTTTTGAACCAAGGTACAATTTCAATTTAATTTACACCATCAAGACTCTAAATCGCACACTGATACAGCCGTATTGGCATGGTTGTACATAGCAGGTGCTGGCTTTAATCTAGATTCTAAGATGCTTCACTAAATGATCAAAGGCGTCGACTGTCCTACGTCATAATCATCTAAAGTCATGACGCTGTTCAAATTACCCCCCTTGTGATCTTGCGTGATAGTGATAGAACATTGTCCCATCATTTCTGCCAATCAAGATGGCATATCCATGTCAAATATTGATCGTTGAAATTGGTTCTTAAGACTTTAAATTGGATAGTATTCTTATTGTTGCTCGTCCGCCGCCATTTTCGTCCGACAGCGATGCCATATTACGCCCCAAGCCGTCAATTCAAGTCGCAGTACTCTGCTAACGTCAGTTGTGTAACCAAACTTTCATGGCAGAATATCACCCCAACCCGCAATAACCAGCGACATAGAACTTCGGTTGTGTATTCATGTGTTGGTCCCACAAGGCACCTGTGGAATGCTTGAGTCGCGTGATTTAACCGAAGCAAATTCATAAAAATAATTAAATTCAAATCCTATTTATTGCTACATTTGATGATGGATTATCACACACTTAACGGATAATAAAATGTAAATTTTTAACCATAAAATATACAGTTTAGTGGTGTTTTATATGTATAAAACGTTTTTTGTCACGTAACGTATAGGGTGCCGGCAGAACAGCCCGCGAGTTAGCCATAGTCGAGGATGATCAGTTTACAGCTCCGATTATGACAGATTTGATTTCTTTGAACTATTATAACGTCTATTACATATAATAGCTGTGGGCAAAACTATCTTCATTTCGCTACATATTAGGGATGGAGCAACTTTATTTACTTAATACATTTCAAGACATCAAGAATAATGTTTTACCCTGTGTTCCCTATACCTTCCTGATGAATTCATCATTGATTTTATGCATTCTCGTACGTTAACAGCCATCTCCAGATGTTGCGTGCCAGGCAGTTGTCGACATGGTGGTCACAGAGGAAGTGTTCTCCTTTGTGAAGACCTCCAACAAGACCTGGATGAGCGGGGAGGGAAGCTTTGTGGCAGAGGAGTCGGAGAACTACTTTAACGTCACCTTCTGCTACTATGAAGCTTATGGTAAGTTTCGCGGTTGTGAATGTTGTCATTACCCGTGAGATCAAGCAAAAACGCCAAACTCCATATTGTGATTATGTAATTCAGTAAGAGGCCAACGGCCCATGACACATTAGTATAGCATGATAAACCACGAATTCTTGAGTAAAGAACATGGATATAACAAGTTCATTCATGAAAAAAGGTATAAGGTATATCTTAATATGTTGGGTTTTGCTAATAACACACCCATATATATATATTCTAGAAGATATTCAATGTAATGTGGCGAGATATATTTTCTTCATATAGTGGCATATCGTTCACATATAAACAACACATGGTATTCGTATTCAATATATTTACAGTTTTTGGACAAACAGAAATCACAGAAATCTTCCAAGGTCCACATTTAAACGGAAATCATTACATCTAAACTTTGAAATATATATTGCAATGTATTGTGGAATGTCACTTGTTAAATAACGTTGAGGGCTTCAACATAGATTTGAACCGAACACAGTAATTACATTTCGAAGAAAATTTCATTGAAAAATACCAACTTAAATAGAGATTATTTGATAATCTTTGCTGAAATTCATTTAGGAATAAAGTTTTATCACCGATTTCTTGTTTTATCATATAATGGGTAGGTGTCTCGGCAGGATAACGCCAACGGATAAAAACGATATCCGTTGGGGTCATATGCGGATAGAGATGCAAATATCAAAGGTCAAGTAGGGACTACTTTCGCTGTTTATAAACAAACATGGCGTCGCCCTCGTCATTCGGCGATCGAATCAGAATTAACCATCGGGAATCTGGACAAACTACAGTGATAATTTATATCATTATCAAAAGAACAGTCTAATATACTGAAAATCAGTGTCTAACTGTGACGTAGCTAAGGCATTTTATAAGTTTTGGCAACTTTGGAGATATAAATTTCGAAACAATTTTGCGAGGGCACGAGGCCTAGCCAAGCGGGATCAGTATCCGTATCTGTGGTTGTAGACCTCTGCGGCTTGAAACCTTCTCCACAAATTAAAATAGTTGGATTTGGCCGAAATATGTTTGAAATGTTACCTTGATTCGTTTTGTCGCTGTGTATACATCTGACTACACTTCTTAACATTATGACAGGTCAGACCGACTATCAACAACGTCTGACCGTGGCCGTGACGTCCCATAGACTAGGGTTAGAGGAGCTTCCCTTTGACAAAGGGCAGTTACTCTAGTGGACAGATCGATGGATTGCCGCGAAAGGCAATTAAAAACAATTGTTGTTTTCCGTATATGTTGGTTCACCACTGGATAAGAAACAGATTTCAGTTGGAACTATATTGGCTACTGTCACTGTCCGACTGACACATCACTTACCCTGTGACGTAATAAATATTAATGCGCGCATTCCAGGAAAACTCGCAATGTTTCGGTAATGTTTGTGAGAGAGGGAAAGCGAGTTTGTAGCACAGTATTAAAGAATGACATTATATGATAAAGAGGTTATCACGCTTGTATGTTTGGGGATAGTAAATATCCTGTTTTAGGAATAAACACTAGTATGTTTATTCCTAATGCAGGATATTTACTATCCCCAAACACACTCGCGTGATAACTTTTATTAATCAACTATACTGAGTCAAATTAAAAAACTTCACATTTTAAAAAGTAATCCCATATATGATATACAACGGACAAATGTATCAGAGAAGGTAATTTTTAATCATTAATGTCCAAAGAAGGATTTTAATTAACGGTGGTAACCATAATTTGTTCCAAGCACCTACGGTATTCGGTAATAACATCAACAGTTTAAATTATAAGTCCCAAGCACAAGAATCTGATGGCACACAAGTTCAGTAGCGTGTATGGCCACCATGTGCGTTGACAACTGCCACACAACGCCTCCGTATGGACCTTGTGATGCTTGTGAACACATGATTGGGAAGACGACGCCATTGTTGCTGCAAAATGGTGCCAAGATCTTGCAAATTCTGTGGTTGGTTCTGGAGAGTGCGCAGACTTCTGCCAAGAGCATCCCATACGTGTTCGATGGGATTGAGGTCGGGAGACCTTGGCGGCCAGTCCATGACGTTGACCCCCGCATTCTGAAGGAAATTCCTCGTCAAAATTGCTTTATTGGGTCTGGCATTGTCGTGTTGGAAGATCAAACCGGGTCCATGTGCTGCCATAAAAGGCAGAAGTTCTGGTGCCAGTACCTGGTCGCGGTAAGCAGCAGCGTCGAGGTTGCCACGGATGACAAGAAGCCTGGAACGTGCATTGCCACAGAAAGCACCCCACACCATGACACTTTCGCCTCGAAATCTGTCAACTTCCTGTACACAACACTGGGCGTAACCTCTATGTATCCAGACCAGTCCACAACCTAAACTGAACAACGTATGTTTAATTGATGTAGTCCATGTCACTTTGTCCACTTCATCGCTCTGTGTTAGCATTTAAGAAGGCTTGACGACGTAATCTGTGAGAGTCAAGATCAAGAAGTCTGCACAAATATATCACTGTTCTTGTCACATAGATAGATTTGCAGAGGGACTCCCCAAGTACCATATTATTAGGTTTATCCTTAAAGAGACGAAGATACCGTTTACAGAAGGATATATATATATACTGAATCGCAAAAAAAAATTCACCCCAAGTAAAGTTGCTTGAAAAGTTGTCATTTAGATATCTGGGTAATTTTCTAAAATTTAACATTACCTTGTCTTGAAAAATGAAATTTGATGAAAAAACCCCAAAGCAAATGAAAATAAAACCGATCGCCCAAACGCTTCACGGCAACGGCCATGGTAACCCGTTGCACGTGAGTTCCGTGCAAATTGAAATGCACATGCGTTCCCCCATTTCTTGCCCTATAAAAATCCACCCAGATCGGATAACATTCATTCGTTATTGAATTGCTACCACATGCCAAGGTTGACAAGAAATCAGCAACACTATGCCCTTGGACGACTGCAAGCTGGACAAACTGCCCGGCAAGTAGCCAATGCATTTCAAGTCCACGTAAGGACCATATACAGACTCCAGCAACGGTACAAGACCACCAACACTACAGATGCCCGACCACGTAGTGGAAGACCGAGGGTCACCACCCGACGCCAGGGTCGTCAGATTGTGCGAGAGCATCTTCAAGATGCTTTGTTACTGCTTCGGAAACTGCTCGACAGACCATGGGGACACACCAGCGACACATTAGTGGGGACACCATGCGTCGACGATTGACGAGCAGACACCTCCTCTGTCACAGGCCACACCGAGGACCCATTCTGACACCACGCTATCGCCAGGACCGTCTTCAGTGGTCAACACACCACCAGTGTTGGCTCCACCAGCAGCGGAGAAGAGTCCTCTTCTCAGACGAGAGCCGTTACTATATCTCAACAGCAGAGAGAGAGAGAGAGAGAGAGAGAGAGAGAGAGAGTCTTGCAACGCCGTGGGGAACGTTATTCGGATTCTTGTGTTGTTGGGAGAGGCTCGTTGGGTGGTCCGAGCATCATGGTGTGGCGTGGAATTGGTCTTGCACAGATGGTCGGTCCTGTGGTCTTCCAGAACATAGGTCCAGGGAGAGGCAATGGTGTCATAGCAGCTCGGTACATTGATCAAGTCCTGAGACCACACGCCATACCTCATTTGGCACGTCGCCGCAACCACGAGTTTCAGCACGATAACGCCCGTGCCCACACCGCGAGAGCAACAGGAGACTTCCTCAAGCAGAATGACCATGCAGTGGCCTGCCCTCAGTCCCGATTTAAATCCCATTGAGCACCTGTGGGACGAGATTCAAAGACGGCTGAATGACGTCCGACCAAGGCCGACAACTGCAGCTGAACTGCATCAGGCGTTCCTCAGAGTGTGGGCTCAAGTGCCTATGGCCTTCATCAACCGCCTCATCCATTCCATTTATCGACTTTGCACGGCAGTCATCAATGCACATGGCGGACACACGAGATACTGACTTGTGATGCCATTTTTTCAGAGACTAGTGTTGTGTTTCACTTTAAGAACATTTGACACTTTAATTTCAACCTTGATGATCACTTTTGCCAAGTTTCATCTTTTTATTATTTCTCATAGTATGTTTGCAGTGTTTGGACAAATAAGGTTTCTCATATATCTATCCATGGTGACGTTTCTTTTGCGGTTCAGTATACATGTGTGGACATTTAGAAATAAGTTGCACGATGTTCCCTAATCTTCAGCTCCCTAACTCAAGATCGGCACAACACTGCCAAATATTTTAAAGCCATTTTGGAATGATAGCTATCCATTTTACTTTTGATAGTAGTTGATAATTCTCATTGATTGTTTGCTTGGGCTTTCAGACTAATGAATGTTTTGCTCCACGAAAACTGTTCCAAAACATGTATAAAAATATACAACTTAAATTCTTTCTTCTCTGAAATACCATTTTTCGTAGCTTTTCAATATTCCACTTTTTGTTTAATTTTAGTTGTCTTTAAATTTACTTCCATTCCAGTGGATACACAGAAAGATACAAGAACGACGATGTTCTTTCGTGGCACTGTCCGCAACATATGATACGCTGCCTGCGTATAATAATGCAAATAGGTGTGACATTTCACTAGTATCAAAGGGGCACGGGTGGCCCAGTCGTCTAAGGCGCCGCGATTCGCTGTGCGGAGTTGCGTCCCTTGGGCACGCCAGAAACCTATGATTGTGGGTTCGAATCCCAGTTCGCCCTGATTATGTTTCTAGGTTTGTCATCACCATACCCGTGCTCGTGGGTTTCACCGAAGTGGTAAACGTCTCAGACCTGAATCACTTCGGGCTTTCCTCCCACATTAAGCTGACGCGCCGTGATATAACTGGAATAATGTTAAAAGCGGCGTTAAACCCAACTCACTCACTCACTCACTAGTATCAAATATGCCATCACTGTGAGGTAACAAAAAGTTTTGGGCTCAAAACACTTCCCTAACTAGTTGAGACATTACAAGTGAAAATAATCAGAAAGACCATCATTCATTCGAACACAAGAT